GTAGACCCACTGCTTTTCCACTACACAGCCCTGCTGTTGTGTCGGCCTGGCTGTATCTCACACTGTGTTTCCTTATGGTTTGTGGACTCAGACATGTGGCTTGACAATGTATCAAATTCATTTTGAAATAGTATGGGATTAGCAGCGGAAACACTAGATAGGTGGAACCTTGGGAAATCTTCTGGAGCTCTGTCAGTGTTCGTGTAAAGATTTTTCTTCCTTGTAGGACCAGATAAGTTTATGACCGGTGTTGCTGATCCAAGTTGCTGCAATTTTCCATAAAGCCACTGCACTGGGGGGAAATGAGGAGCATCCATGAATTCCTTGCTTGGAATTCCAGTTTGCTGGTTTTTTCAGCTCATGTCTCCATAAGTCGATTAGGGAGACCTTGTTGCCTTTTGTCTCAAATAAGGCAAAGGGAATTGTAATTGGACTCAATCAAGAGCCCACAGTTTCTGAAAAGAAAAAATGAAAGATGAATAAAAGGATGTGCGAAGGTACTTGCCATTGTTAGAATGGTAACAGCTTGTTTGAGCTGTAGACATTTAGCCACAAACAGGGAACTCTTCCTGAGGGACCATTTGGGCAACTGAAGATACACACCCTGAGGCAAAGGGCTGACAGCAAAGGGCCATGCTGGAATTAGGTGTGGGAATTATAGCAGGGAGTAAAATAGACTAAAATCCCTGTCTTAGGGAGCTCACGTCCTTATGGTTACAAGTGGCTCACTAGGTCTCAGGCACTATTCTGAGCACTTCATTATATTAACCCATTTGATACTCACACGTACTCTGAGAGTAGGGACTTCTTGGCATCACTGCATAACAAATGGGGAAACTCAGGCACTGGGAAGTGAATGACTTGCCCACCGTCACAATCAGCAAATGGCAACTTTGTATCTCCACTTAGTACATCAGTGCATCTCAAACTTTGAAGTACATATAATTAACCTGGGGAATATGGGTTTAAAAGCAGATGCTTATCCAGTAGATCTGGGTTGGGACCCTTGTGGTTCTGCACTTCTGACCAGCCTCCAAATGACACTGAAGCTGCTAGTCCATGGACCACACTTGGAGTGGTAAGGTGCTGGACCATGATGAGCATCCCTGACCTCCTGAAAACTTAAGCCCCTTGGAGATGCCTTTCGTTCTCATTTCTGTATTGTCTTCATTAGAACTCTGTGGTTATACTAGCCTAGGCTCAATTAGTTGAAGCTATGAAAACCCATTCAAGCTAATTCAGAAGAGAGGAGGGGATAGTTTAAGGACAGAGAGCTCATGGAATACAGGGATAGCAAACAATACATCAGCCTTCTTGGGACTCAAAGTGCCATCAAGACCAAGTCTATCAGACCCACAGGTCCTCTCACCTTGACCTTTCTCTTATGGGTTCTCCTCTCTGCTCTATTCTGCTTACCTGTTCTCTAAACACAGCTGCCTGCCCCAAAGTCCTCAGGCTCTTTCACCCCCAGGGTCCATAACAACCATATGTGCTCTGTTTCTTAGTTTAAATTCATGAAAGGGGAATCTGATTGGTTGCTCTGGTGGTCAGTGAATACAGGGGCTGTGGGTGGGGCAAATTAAGTAGAAGGATGGTGGACAAATTGTCTGACGTATCTAATATCACATGTAAGTCCGAATACCCACTAAGCGTTCCTTCCTGGGCATCCAATTTTTTTACTTTGTTGGTCTATCAGAAAGAAATAGATCAGTTATTTACTAGGCACCTACCAGCTGCTAACAGTGTGCCAAATGGTGGGGATATAGATGCAGAAGATGCGGCTTCCNTGGGTTTAAAAGCAGATGCTTATCCAGTAGATCTGGGTTGGGACCCTTGTGGTTCTGCACTTCTGACCAGCCTCCAAATGACACTGAAGCTGCTAGTCCATGGACCACACTTGGAGTGGTAAGGTGCTGGACCATGATGAGCATCCCTGACCTCCTGAAAACTTAAGCCCCTTGGAGATGCCTTTCGTTCTCATTTCTGTATTGTCTTCATTAGAACTCTGTGGTTATACTAGCCTAGGCTCAATTAGTTGAAGCTATGAAAACCCATTCAAGCTAATTCAGAAGAGAGGAGGGGATAGTTTAAGGACAGAGAGCTCATGGAATACAGGGATAGCAAACAATACATCAGCCTTCTTGGGACTCAAAGTGCCATCAAGACCAAGTCTATCAGACCCACAGGTCCTCTCACCTTGACCTTTCTCTTATGGGTTCTCCTCTCTGCTCTATTCTGCTTACCTGTTCTCTAAACACAGCTGCCTGCCCCAAAGTCCTCAGGCTCTTTCACCCCCAGGGTCCATAACAACCATATGTGCTCTGTTTCTTAGTTTAAATTCATGAAAGGGGAATCTGATTGGTTGCTCTGGTGGTCAGTGAATACAGGGGCTGTGGGTGGGGCAAATTAAGTAGAAGGATGGTGGACAAATTGTCTGACGTATCTAATATCACATGTAAGTCCGAATACCCACTAAGCGTTCCTTCCTGGGCATCCAATTTTTTTACTTTGTTGGTCTATCAGAAAGAAATAGATCAGTTATTTACTAGGCACCTACCAGCTGCTAACAGTGTGCCAAATGGTGGGGATATAGATGCAGAAGATGCGGCTTCCAGTTTTAGGGAATTTAGGTTTTTATGAGAGAGGAGTTCTTTTCCAGTAATGGCAGACTAATATAGCAGACCAAAGCCCTCCTTTTGAGAACAATTAGAAAAGGTGAAAAAAAATTGCATTTCAACTTTCCTAATTCTAAATTTGTATTTCATAAATACATTTGTATGACATAATCACACAATTATATATGTGCATATATATTTCAGCTACCCTAATTGTTCTCTGAAGGACAACATAGATAGATAGACAGATAGATTGATTGATTCTTTTTATTTGGGTCTTAGATTCTCTTCTTTAGATCTCTTCTGTGGGTAGCCACTGGACACATGTGGTTATTTAAATTTAAATTAATGAAAAGTAAATACAGTTACAAATTCAGTTTCTCAGTCCCATGTGGACTGGCCATGTGTGGATTGCACATGGTCTACGGACCGCTGTGCCAAGACTACTGTACGTACAGTGCAGACATAGAGCATTTCCAGCACCTCACAACGTTCTATTGGATCATATTTTCATTCCCTGACATTTTACATATTCTGTCAGGTTTATTTTTAGGTTTTTACCAATGATTATGTTACCCCTGTGCATGGAAACTTTTCATGGTTCCAGTCTCTTCAGTATGATGTTCAAGGTTTAACACAGTGAACTCAGTTCTCTTTCCTTGACTGTTGAAAGCAGGAACAGTGAATTTGGTGATCAACCACTGACTGAAAGCAGACAACATAATTTCAAAAGCAGATGTTTGCTGCTTTGTGTGACTGTCTTGCACAGAGAATGGTGCTCGGAGCTCTGACCCTGAGTCATCAGATGGCCATAAGATTCTCTGTTGGGATATCAAATGGTAAAATATTGGGTTGTTGGAAAAGTCATGATGTATTTTTTCTATGTTTTTAGTTGCAAAAATGCATCATAACTTTTCCAACAACCCAACAAATAATGTTTTGGTTCTTGGAATACCCATGGGAGGACTCTACATTTTTTGCACATGTATGGGCTAGTGGGACTTCTACTGAACTGAGTCCCAGCTTTGCCATTTACTGGCTTTTAAGCAGATAACTTAATTCTCCTCTCTGGCACCTTAGGTCTCTCAGTTGTTGTGTGTAAGTCATTACCCTGGCATGTGAGTTGTGACAATTAAATGTGGTTTTGCAAATGTGAAAATTATTTTATAAATTTAAGTGCCATATGTACCATATGGTATGATTTTGGACTGCAGTGTGTGCCAGTTCCACAAGCTATTCCACTTCATGGTATGCCATTTCTTTTTTGTCTTACAGTGATTTCCCACAAAGCTTCTGAAGATTCATCCTTTGAAAAAAAGAAAGAGACTTGGGCATTTTTTGAAGGTAAAGCTTGCATATTTCTTTCTTTCTTTTTTTTTAAGATTTTTATTGGGCAATTGGGGGGATGGGAACAGTGCTGGGGAATTGGGGGAAGGGGAACAGACAAGTTGCTGTCATTTTATTCTTCAGTCTAGTTGTGGAGGACATCGCTTTACCGGCCCAAGTTGGCACCATCATTGCGCTCTTCCCGGGTGAGGCAGACCAGTCGCCGGCTTCTGGACGGCCGCTCACTGCGGCTGCTAGCCACTCATGCTGGCTGTTGAC